GAGTTGGCTGGCACCTGCTGAGCCATCAGCTGGAAATAACAGCCTTGCTATCCTTGCTGCTTCTCCTTCAGTGCCTCAATAGTTCACAAGTGAAGCAGATGCTCTACTCTATCCATTCCTAGATGGTCTTGAGGTAGAGGCATTTGCTGTGGCTGTAGTGTGTATCCCTCGGGCAGACCTTGTAGTGCCATGTACCATTCACACTAATATTGTAGGTAACTGCAGGTTCAATCTTATATAGTGACTTATTTACCAATTTGAAATTATCATATATATACATCATGTATTTATTACTTTAAAGTTTAAGCCAATACTAATCTAACACTACCTTTCCATTGATAAGCATGTCATTTTTAATTGTGGTAAATGTTGTGCGATTTATATCAAGAACTGTGTTGTACTCTTGCAACTGTACTCTAACGTTTTTATTTATGGCCTTATTGATTCAATCAAGTTTTGCAGATTTTTATTTTACTGAAAATAAACATATTGTTAATTAAATTTTAAAAAACTTCTTTTATTTCTTCTTTGGTGTATGTGTAACTACTTTTCAGTTCCAGTTCTATTGGGGTATCACCTGGTGGGACAGTGTTAAGTTTACAGAATTACAACACTAAAATCCAGGATTCGATTCCCTATGGTGCACACAGCAGATAGCCCAATTTGGCTCTGCTCTTAAATAAATAGTCAAACAACCTATTTGGGCTGAGCTGTTCCAGTAGTCAGTGTGCTAGCCTGTGATTTCAAGATTTCAGTGGCTCTAACCCTATTACCACCAATAGGAAGAAAGAAATCACGCTCTACACTTTGTGACCATAGATGCATTTTAAGAGTGATGGTCAAGTCCCATTGTTTGATTACAATAACCCAGTTGGTAGTGTTGAGTAGTTGCTTTCCCTCTAGTCTATCACTTTAAAACTAGGGATTGCTAACTAGATTAGGTAGCCTTTCGTGAAATTCGACAGAACAAGAGGACTTCACCAGTAGTGTGTGTGTGATATGACAAATTATTATTTCATAAATCTCATAACTTCATTGTCTCCTCATTTGTTAACATAGCATAAAACATACTGGTGTGGTTAGCGTACCCAGTATGTGAATCTGAGAATTCCTGGGGCTCTGAGGGATGACAGATCCATTTCCCAAATGCCTTTCCCTTTGTAATGCATAGTACTATCTATATCCACCTCTCCCTTATGCATATGCGGCGTCATTTGTACTTCCCTACTCCTAATTTCATTTTTGCATAGTTCAGTGATGTTTAAAAAGATTCTTATGCACACACACACGTTACTCGTTTAATTATATATACATTAGAAAATAATTTCCATTTTGAAATAACTGTACATAATTTCCAATAGAAACAGCTAGAGCAGTGAATCATTGCCTTGAGAGGACATGCTAAAGTAGTCTCGGCCATTTAACAAAATAAATAAATAAATCGTCGTTAAGTTATATCAGGATTTTGTATACTATCTATCCATCGCTTATGTTTGCGTATTGTTCAAAATGTAGTTATTAAATTGTATTGAATTGTATGTGACTTGTTTATGAGTCTCAATTTTGAGAGCCTACATGAAAAATTTGCCCCGGGATTCCCGAAGTTCTTAATGCGGCCCTAATTAATAGTGTTACGACAGCGGAAGCCACGTGACGCTGGTAACACGTGATGAGTTTCTCGAATGATCATGAATTTCCTAGTGCATTTGGGACGCCCCCTTTTTTAGTATATAAGCCTGCGGGATGATTAATTGAAGAGATATAGATAAATAGATATGCAGATAGATTGAAGAGATAGATAACTGAAGAGATAGATAA